CGTAAAAAAATTCTTTTTTTCTGTGCGATAATTTGTCGTGACGGGATAATCAATAGAAAGAAGAGAGTCGCGTGTGAATTTGTCCGAAAGCTATGTGAGCATAACGGAACGCGACAGCTAGCCAAAGAAAAGTTAGCTTCCTACGACGCGTCTGACAAACGCGTGGCGTTACCACTGCGAGTTCTCTCGCGCAGTGAGAAGGAAAATGGGTTCCGCGCTGTGACAGGTCGCAGGGACGTGCGGAAACGAGACAGACGCGACTTACGTCATAGCGTTCCTCGTGGATCGAATATTGAATCGGCATGCCAATGTTGTTACGACCGGCGAAGTAACAGGAAACCGGCCGGCCGTATTGATACGTGCACGCGCGCGGCGCTTGACATGATATTGATTTGTTACTCGCTCGCTTTCTCTCTCTCTCTCTCTCTCTCTTTTCTTTCTCACTCTTTCTCTTTTCTCTTTTTCTCTCTTGTCTGTACTAAACGCTTGTATGCTTGGAGAGTTTCGCGTTCGCATATCTCGTTCTCACTCGCGGCCAAAATGGAAAAATCGATGCCACTGTGAACAAGGTCGCGCGCGTCATTCCCGTAGACCTATAAAAGAGACAAATCTAGTTAAGATATCCTGTTTTATAATAAACTCAAAATTTTATGAGATAATATGATATTAATATTATGTTTATCTCTCGTAATGGATCTTTAAACTATATAAAGATAGAATAAGTATATGTAAAACAATTTAAGAAAAATTAATATAGCTTCAAATTATAAATATTTTTCTTTGTAGTGATAATATATTTTTTTAAATTTATATATAATATTGATAATGTAAAGTATTACTATAATAATGTAATTATTTTTAACACTAAATTTAATGTTCTTGTCAAATTTTTAAATGTAGTGCATCTGAATAATGAAAAGAGTTCTGTTAACGATATTATGACTAAAAGTTAACCGAAAATATAAACATTAAATTAAATGTATTAATTTTATCATGAATGACAGTTACTGCTAATAATGATTCGCTTTGTATTATTATATTTAACATATGTGCGTTTTTTCCGTCAAGGTATAATATTAGTTATTAAAATGTAGTTTGTGTTTTCTTTAAAATGATTAATAAATATAAAATTTCAAATTCTTTCCCATTAATTTATTGTGTAATTTCTTAATATCAGTTACTGAGTGCTTTTAAAAGATTTTGTATTATAGAGCGTATAATAAAATTCTTACCTCTTGTCTTCTCTCTTCTGTTTGAATCTTGATGTAGTGAACAGTAATGAAGGTTTTCCGCGATCGATCGCGTACTGGGTTCTTTACTTTTACGTATCAGCATTAAACAGCGTTATTGATAACGTTTATCACGAAATATTATGTACTATGTGTATTTAATAATTATTATTATATTGTTATCAATAATTAGCAATTTGGACGCATTTTACTTTACTATGCTTAGAAATATTGTATAATTTATAAATATTTATTGTATAATTCATAAATATTGTATAATTCAGTCAAATAATATCTTACCAGAACATTTTTATATTACCCATTAGCTATGTTGAATGCGAATACTTTAAAAAAAAGTAGTAATTCTTTGATTATTTATCTAAAAATATAATTTTGAAATTTATTTAATTAAGAATGAACTGAGTTGAATATTTTTATTGAGAATATTTTTTTTGAGCTTCAAGCATATTTAAGCCATTTTTAAATTTTCTTTGCTGCCGCCCTCTCTTCATTATTATTATTATTATTATTATTATAGTGTCACATGAAACTAGTATAGATAACAGTATTATTATTATTATTATTATTATTATTATTATTATTATTATTATTATTATTATTATTATTATTATTATTATTATTATTATTATTATTATTATTATTATTATTATTATTATTATTATTATTATTATTATTATTATTATTATTATTATTATTATTATTATTATTATTATTATTATTATTAATATTATTATTATTATTATTATTATTATTATTAATTATCGGGCATAGTCGGAGTCACGATGATTTGTGGAACGTAGTCGTCCAGTTCCTAATCTCCGTCTGGACTAAGCGTGGGTCTGGTACCACGCTGGGAGCTGTCTGGTAGTGGGGGCAAGAAAGGGGATCAAGGGGGGTGGAATGCCGTTTAGAAGGGGAGAATTCAGTAAAGGGGAAGACCATTCGTCCATGGTCGTTGGAGAAAATTGTGGTAGGTCGTGACAGCAAAATGGCCGACTTGATGGTTGCCCAGGAAACCATCTGGGCGGTACTCTGGCATTCACCAAGAGGCGGAGCATGATGGTCTTGGCGGCCATTATGGTTCTGCACTCCGAGAGATACTGCCACCTGGTAAACGTACCCTGAAACCAGCCTCGATACTGGGAATATCGCCACCATCCCCGAGGACCGCCGGGGATGCGGATGAGCGAGAGATCGTTCTTGCATTCTGATATAGTTCTCGTACTCTGAAATAGTCCTAGGATTACCGAGCGTGTCGTCCTGAGATGTCCTGTTCGATTGCTGATCGTTCCATTCGCTCGAATTGTTTCCGAGGAACAAGATATATTGCTGAAGCAAAGATTATCTTGACAGATTGCACTGATTAAACTTTTACTTTGTTTATTTAATTTGTTATCACATTACTAAAAGTCATGATTTTTCATCAAACGAAAAATACTGATTGTTTCTTTTTATCATCAGCTGTGATCAGTTGTGAGCTAATCGCGATTTTTTAAGTCAATATTGATATTTGTCGATAAACTGGCAAAAGATTTATCGTGTCTTGATCGTCGTATCTTATATATTTCAGATGAGAAATATATCTAAGAGAGATTCCTGCGAAAATTGATTACAATTCCGGACATAGTCCATCCGAATGTCTCGTCGAAATTGCGTGCCAGCGGTAGCGCCATTAAACGCAGGCGTGCTCGCGAGATTGCGTTATTATTAATCATTCGTATATCGTTTACGAGGCACGTCGCGGCGCGTCCCTCGTCAATTATTAACGCCCGTTGCGCCCGTAGATATTTATTTATTAATTAACCGATTAACGTTTTGCAATTATGCGCCGTCACGCTCCACTCGCGTACCCGGAAATCGCGCGAACCGCCTATATCTCATCTCAGGGTTCTTGCCTTCGATTAATAATGGCCACGAATTATTGTTGCGATATCCGCGACGTAGGGCACGATATAGAGATACCGAAATCAAAGTTTGTCCAACCCACCATTTTTAAACATCAATTAATTTTTTATGGTCATACAAATTTACACATTGCGCTATCTTGTTTAATTATGGAAAGAACAGAATAAATTGATGTTACGAACAGAATAAAATTGATGTGTTAATAAATAATGATATAAAATACAGACGTTGTGTCTACAAATAAAATCATTGCCCGTTTCCGAAATTAAAAGAATACTTTTTCTGATATGTATGTTTTTAAATACTTTTCTTTTAATGACACACAATTGATATATATTTTTTATATTTATACAAGTCACTTTCTTATCTCTTGGGCTTCAAAAAATGGAATTGAATTGTTATATGGTATGTCTTATACGTGATTATAATCAGAACAATTGCAAATAATATACGATATTGGCCAGATACTGAATCACGTATCTCCAGTCACGGCGCGGTGATTTCTACGAGCTCGCTCCGCTCGTAAATGCTGATTTATAAATTAATTGGCTGACACACCATGACCGCAACGAGTCACGCGTTTTCCTTACGATTACGATGACCCCGGTGCACCGGATAAACGAGAGGGTGGGATATCACAGGGTATGCCGAGCATACCTAAAGACAAATATTTGCTTGCGAGAGAGAGAAATGTCATCCTATAAATACACACGTACATCTTTCTGCATTGATCTTATATGAACAAAAGGATTTTTTATATTATTCTTTCTTTTTCTTATCACAAAAATATCGTGACGATATTTTCTTTAATTACATAAGCAAATTAAAAGTAATAAATTTCTGCACGAATTAAACTTCACAGAAATTCTCATAGGCAACAAGATTTTAGTTTTTTATTGGGTTTTTTAATTTTCGAATGGATTTTATTTTAAAGAGTAATTTTATTTTCTATAATAATAATCCTAATTTTATTTCCTAAATATATCTTATGTCGAAAATTAAAAAAAAAAAAAATTATGAGTAGGCGTTTACTTAGATTTTGCATAAAGTAGGACATATGTACATTTTCGTAGAAACTACGAATCACAGAATGACCATCCGTGATTCAATTCACAACGCGCTTTCCATATTGAATCCGGTCGCATTGACAAAGCCTGAGAGTAAACCGAGCGTGCGTATCCTACTATATCCCATCTTCTGACCCTTTGTTATCCTAGCGCAGCCTGCACTTTCTGCTCCAAGCCAGAGGTTATGAATAATACATATTAATCGCGCCTGTCCTGTGTATACCTCGTTCTCCTTGTATAAATATATACGGCAAATTCGAGACAATCTCTCCATCGACACGCCAATTCGTTGTATGCATTTCTGGAGAATCGAATGAGCTCGATAACACATTAACACGCATGAATATCGCGATAATAGACGCTGATAATTAACTGGATGATCGTTACGTGGATAGTTGAAGAGGTCCCGCCTCGTGCATCGTTCGCATGATAACCGCTCATTATCGACAGCGATTTAATCCTTAACCCCTCGCGATTCCGTGGAATAAATAGAATCTACACCTACACAGATTTTATATCTCGGTAGCTCCCGTTTCTGCACACATTACAACATATTTGTAACAATTAAAGTATTATTATTATTATTATAAAGGGAAAAATTAGTATTATAATTTACTTTATAGATACATCATCAATATCTGTATTGTCAGCTCACTTTTATTAAAAGTTGACATACTTTGTTTTAGAGATCAATTTTTTATTATTATAATTTAAATTCTAATCGCTCTCTTTAACATATTGTACATGTTGACTACATGCGCTTGATCTATGTTTGCAGGTTCTCGTAGAATACGACGACGTGGAGTGGCAAAGGAGGGAGTGGTTGTCGCCTCACAGGGATGCCGTGTTCTCCTTCTTTCTCATTGAACGAGGTCTCTACTGGGCCGAACGACCTGACCCCAGACACGCTAGTCTCATCCCCATCGATCATCACAATCACGCGAACAATAACCACCATCAGCACCGCATTAACGGGAAACCGCTCAGAGGCGCCACGGCAGTCGCCGATACTATTGCCTGGCCAGCTCTTGTGAGTACAAATGAACTACTGTACTTACGGATTCTTGGATGATTTTAGAACTTTATCCTTCTTTAATAAAAATATCGAGCCATTGCAATGATTCTTGCATTACAAGATGGTCTTTACAATTTAACTTATTTTATTGTCTTATTAAATTTTGCAAAAAGATATAAAAGTTTGAATATTAAAAAAGTAATTATATTTGATCATATTTTTATTAAATTCGACATTAGAAATATCAGAGAATCAATCCAAAAATAAAAAAGAAGTATCGAAAGTCTACCATCGTACATATTTTCAAGTTTTTTTTTTCACTCACGTGAAAATATTTTACAACTTTTTAGACAAGAGAGAGAGAGAGAGAGAGAGAGAGAGTTTCGTTTAGAAATGTTTCATAGATTGTACACAGATTATGCAATATCGTTGAAAAAATTTTTATCTTAATCACGGATAATATATGTGAAATTTCCGCTGTAATTTGTTATACGTGTGATTTCCTTCAAATTTTACATAAAAGTCTGTATAATTCGACGGGCTATTATTTTTAATGCAAATCTTTCATATTTTATCGATGATAATTGAGGAATGCTTGCAATTCCCCCTATTCGGATATTAATCAGTCCGTGGTTAATTAATGAAATATCCGATTCTCCATTCCTGTTGAATAAATTTTACGATCGACACAATTCGACCGTTATAAAACAGCGCGTTCCATTGGCTCGATGCTTTTTTGCTCGTTAAAATTTTAATGCTTTGATTGAGCGAGCTTAATTATTTTGTGCGAGGGCTCAATGACGCAAAAGTAATTACATTTATATAATATTAAATTTTTATTTTTTGGTTTTTTGTAGACTTTAAAATTAAAATTCTGAGTGCAATATTATAAATATTATCAAGAAGATTGCGTCAATTAAAATTATTTTACATAAAATGGAATGAGAGGATCGTGCATGTTTGTTTCTAGACTTTCTATCCTCTCGTGGCACGCGCTGAGTTGCACGAAGACGCCATGCCGATCGAGTTTATGCAAGATCGCAAACTGGACTTCGTCGACTACTCGAAGCTGAAGCCATTCACCGTAAGTACCATAAATTGGTTTAAATCATTTAAGACTACGATCGCTCGATAAATTTTAACATCGCATATAACATAGCGAATAAAAGTCGTTGACTTTGTATAGTTGTAGCTGTGATCTCTATACATATATAAGACGATATAATTATATTTTGTTTAAAAATACAGTCGCGATGGTGTCAATTTTTAATTAATTAATTAGTACACAACAAATTAAAAAGTACGCAACGCACGAATCCATAACTTATCGAAACTCATAATTATTTTGTATTGTGCTTTTATTACTAATTTGACATTTTTCTATTAATTTGATATATGATACATTTTTCATATAATTAACATTGCACCGGGATATTTAAACTTTGTTTGAAAAAAAGAAGCTAAACCTATGCAAAACATAACGTTTTCGTTTATGAAAAATAATGAATAATTCAACAGTATTCTTTAATCATTAATGTGTGTACTGGATTTCAAAAGGAAAGCGAAAAACATGAAAGACGTAAAATTTGCATGTTCGCTGACCGAGGTACATTGATGCAATCCGTTATCTCGTTTCCCTTCTAATTTTCTCGCGACGTCCTGCACATTTCACGCGTGAGATGCGATAAAGGATTCCGAAACACACACACACGACATTTTTCTATTAATTTGATATATGATACATTTTTCATATAATTAACATTGCACCGGGATATTTAAACTTTGTTTGAAAAAAAGAAGCTAAACCTATGCAAAACATAACGTTTTCGTTTATGAAAAATAATGAATAATTCAACAGTATTCTTTAATCATTCACGTGTGTACTGGATTTCAAAAGGAAAGCGAAAAACATGAAAGACGTAAAATTTGCATGTTCGCTGACCGAGGTACATTGATGCAATCCGTTATCTCGTTTCCCTTCTAATTTTCTCGCGACGTCCTGCACATTTCACGCGTGAGATGCGATAAAGGATTCCGAAACACACACACACGCGACTAAAAGTCCACGCAAGCAAGTTTGTCGAACGCGGCGTGATGGCCACTTCCGCTTTACGACTGGAAACTTACTTCGTTAGGAACGCTGGAACTCTTGGGGAACAAGTTCCCCGGAGCCATTGGCGCATCCGACACCCCTCCGAAGCGACGGATGCGAGCGCGAGCTCTCTCAAGTCGCTACTGCTGCAAGTAATCTTTCACGGTGCTCTCGTTGTCCAACTTCTCGTAAGAGCGGAAGAGTATGACCGAACTTACTGGTTGCAAGACGAGCAGTCGAACTTTGACTCAAGTTGCCGTTTCACTTTCGCGTATGTGCAGGAATTATATTTGCGAACGCGACAGAACTTTTCACGGGAAAAATATTCCTTCTTGAATTGGAAATCTCATTATTTTGTAATATAACAGACAGAATTGAAAAAAAAAGAAAAATATATATATGCCTACTCCGACATAGAGAAACGCAAGATATCCGACCGAGAGAATAAATCGATCTCTCCTTGCGAGAGAGATGGTGCGTGCATGCATGTATTTATGTGTGTGTGTGTGTGTGTGTGTGTGTGTAACTACTTTAGAAGTTGTAGCACTTCTATTACACAGGGTAGGAAGAGTTGAGCGTGGTGGAATTGTTTCCAAGTAATTAAACTACCGGAAAACTTTTACCGTTAAAACTTTTCTCCGCTTCGGTGGCGGCGGCGGGGCGAGTTGTAAGTCGTTTACGTGCGGTGAGAACCTTCAGACTGGCGGCGGTCAGGTTCAGGTGTGTCTTACCTTTCAGGTTCGCTCTTTATCTCTGCCGACTTGAACTTGATTTAAACAAGATAAATTATCTTTGTGATTAAAAATGCGTATCAGAAGTTTCATGCTTTATAATGACATTAAACTCTACTTTTTGTTTTAAGTTTACAGTAGAATTTAATAGAGCTTTAATTCGAGACTTTAACTACGAAAGCACATTTTTGAATCTTATCTGAAATTTCGTCTTGCATTTCGACAGACAAAGAGCGATCCACGAAGTCAGCATCTTATTTCACAGAGCGATAAATTGATTCTTTTGTTTCAATAAAAAATCTTTTCACCGATTCAGCCATCTATGGCTGCTCGCCATAGATCTTTACTTTAAGCTGCGAATCGATGCGCTTGCATTCTGTCGGGAACAGGAGAAAGTCGACGGGTTAAGTGTAAAGAGAAAAAAAGGAAGAAGGAAAGAAGAAAAAAAAAATAAAAGGAGCAAAGAAACGACGTGAGAGGGAGGGCCGAATTCGTCCGAAGGCGAAGTCGCGCGCAAGAGTGTGCTGACCCTGAACTATAAATGCAACGGGTTCTTTCTCCTCGCAGCATCCCGCCGCATACCTATCTCTATCAAACGTGCACGCGTGCACTTGCGCGTGACGTCCCTCTCGCCTTGCTCTTGTTGGGTTAACAACCACGGGTGTCGCGAAGGGATGCAATCGCATCTCTTACACACATATTTTATATATAGCCCTGGGATATTAAATATTTTATTATAGTCCAATATATGTATTTATATATATCAAACTATAATAAAATATTTATATTATATGTATAGTAGTAAATCATTTTACAAATTTTACCGCAGGAAAATCAATTTAATATTATCGGATCAATTTGTAAGCAGTGGATTTAGAATATCTCGAACTCAAGGTATAATTTTAGATTCTTCAAAGAAAATAAAATATATTAAAGTATGTGTGTGAAATATATATGAATATATATGTATGTAGCATGATTCGAAAGGAAAAGTGAATGGATTATAGATAGCCGCAATTTCATTTCTGTGTATTCTTGAGAAAGATCCTGCCGACGCTCATGTGATAGTCGTTGTCTTTTGCCGGCGGCATCGCTTGCCGGTTTGGCGACTCGGTAGCGCGCGTGCACGATCTGCGAGAGACGTTGGAGAACGGCCAAAGACGAGGCGCCAACATATTCCCGTTCTGCCTAACGGTCCTTGGCTAAGCATTATACCCTCAGTCTCCCTTCACGCGGTTCTCGCGAGACGTAAAAACGCCGGATTCCTGCCTACGCTGTTTCGTGAAAGGTGCTTGCTCACCTCCAAGAATAAAAGGGGAAGGGAAGGAAGGGTGTGCTCGTAATTTTAATATTTCGATCGATTTAATTACCAAAATATCTAATATTGAAAATGTTGTAATGAAAAAATTATCTATTTTCGTGAAAATTTTCGAAATATCTAAATTTAAGGAATCTTAATAAAATAAAATAAATAAGTTAATAAAATAAATCACAAAAATTCTATGACCTTATATTGTGCAAAGAGTTTGATGTCTTCCGGCTTAATTTTTTATCATATCTATATTGTTCGAGATTTCAACAGTTTTCGCCGAAATTGAAACGGTAATCGTTAAATTAAAACACGAGCGAGTAAATAGCGTCGCGTTCAGCCGATCGGTGCGTATTCATGCGCTGTCCTTCAAGTTAAAAAACTGTGACAAACAACCCGATTCTCGAACGATCTGTATAAAAAAACCTTTATTATTGCCATCGGTAGAGAGCGAGTTTCCGCAGTCGGAATTAGTCTGCCTACGACGACGATTTGAGCCGGTCGAAATTCATCGATCTCTTTTATTCTCTTGTCATTGTTCTCGCTCGTGTCGTTGTCACGCTACTCGTAATTCTAAAATCTCAACGAAGTATCTCGCTTACGATCGCTTTTTAAACTCTCGCGGCCATCAGTTTTTCTGTCTCTTAAATCTTGTTAGTTAATTCTTTATTGTTAATGTGAAAGTAGGGAGTTCGAGAGTCGGCGATAGTTAACCGCATTGCGAATGTCCTCTGCCTCGCGCTAAAGATCTCCGCCGTCCGCGTCCAAGATTTCCGATCTCGCGAGGGCTTCTAGCAAGAAGCTGTTTAAGATTTTCGAAACGCGGAAAAGGCAGTAATTCAAGGATATATTCGAAGATTTCCGAAAGTAGTTGCGGAATACGCTTCGTCGCTCGCTCCTATTGTATGACTACAAACGTTTCATTAAAATTACAATCACGTGAGTTTATTCCCTAAACTCGTTCCTCCAGTGAATCTATGGATTCGCGCTACGCTCGCTTCTCGCTCAAGTCTAAGCGTATCTCAGTTTCGGGCGATCTCGTCGAGGTCGACTCCCGAATATATGTAATATCTAATTATGAAACAGTTTCGCTTCTTGATCTTGCAAACGATTTATCGGCAATAAGGCAAATGTCGAAGTTGCGAGATATCAGATAATATCGTGTATAGCGTGCTCATTATCGAGTCAATTTTGTCGAGCAGATACGGGTAACATTAAAAGGAATTTCGCACAAATAATTTTATTGTGCAAACGATACACGAATCTTCAATTTGCGACGATAGTCACCTATCTATTGTCATTTTATCCGTTGGCACTTCAGGCTTGTGATTGTACGGTGAACGCATCGCGATTAATGGCGGACGCGTTCTTAATTAAGAAACTTCTTAATTAATTAGCTGACGCCCGCGCGTGGTAACTGCTAACGAGGATTCGCAGCGCGTGATAGAACGATAACAACCGACATAGCATGGCCCGTGATTTTCCGACCGATAATTTTCATCCCGAGAGATATTTGGAGTCGATTGTATGTGTATGTATGAGACAATGAAGTTTACTCGAGAAAAACACGAATAATCATGATAATATTAATATTAATCCTTCATAATAAAATTTTTATGAAATATATTTTTCTTCTATGAAAATTTTTTAAGATTTGCTACGGAAAGAACATAGCCTTCGCTTCATATTTCATACTTTAATTATGCTCAAGAAGTTAATATTGAAAATATAAAAAATGGATTTCACCACACTATGAAATTTTCCACTTGAAAATTCCATCACGAAAGGACTAAGATTGCGCGAGAATATGATTGGAGATGAGACTTGGCCGGTGCTCTTTGAAAGAGAAAAATCCTGGGAAACGGTCGTTCAGCAAGCAGTTCATAACATAAGGTCATAATCCATAAATAAGGAACGAATGATTCGCGGACTCCTCGGTACCTCTCATGTTCTGAATGACGTTCCTGAATCGAATTATCGTTCGTACGAATAATTCAGCTACCGACAGATAATCTCATCGACCCCGAGACCGACACCTCTGCGAAGATAGCATCTGATTTTCGAAATTTCGATAAAACTGATAGAGTTCTGGCGCTTCCCCTAAAGAGTTCTAACTTAACAGAGGTGAGACCGACCCGCTCATTTCCATGTTATAATTGATGCACGATATGTTCAGACGAACGTTACTTCTGTTCGGTATCAACCTTCGACGATAACGGTTGAATGGAAAAATACGTTTTGCGAGCCATATGTTGCGCGAAATCTTCTACCGATTATGCTCCGCGATAAACGAGCCTTCTCTTAAGCACGCGGAATGACTTTACAATGATTACAAACGATACCGAGACCGGACGGCAGTTGCTGGTTACATGCGAGCACTTTCGTTTATGATGAACGAGAAAATCACGAGAAGTGAAGTTACCACAATGTATGTGCACGTATACATATATACAAAGGTTTACACAGATCTCGTATGAGGAAATAATTTGAACGATAATTTAGAGACGGAAAATACTGTATATATGTATATATGTGCGTACATTTATTTAAATGTCTTGTACGATGTATATTAGAATATTCTTACATGAATGTCATCACGCTTAACGCGATTTTAGCGGAATTATATAATTGTTGTGACAAAAAAAGTATTTTAATCAATATTCTTTTAATGCTTCTTTCGTATCTTTCTGTCTTCAAAGAAGGAAAATAATAGTTGGAAAAAAGCTAATATAATTTTTTATACACAAAGATGTTAATAATGCTTCATTTGAAATTGTCATTTGGAATTGCTATATGTCAATACTCTAAGAGAGACAAGTATTACACAATTAAAATATTTTTAATTAATTGCTCTTTGTTATCTTGTAAAAAGTTTCCATGGAATATTAAAGCATTGAGGATGAAGCGCAATAAAACTGATGTAATTTTAATTATAATACTTAGCACTCTACGAAGAGTTTACGGTGCACTTTACAATATTAATGTTGGAGATACCAACTTGCAAAGTACATCGAGCTTGAGAGATGTGCATTATATTTCCAGTCTTACAAAGTAATTATTATTCGCATAATTGCGTAATTCTCTTTGACTGTATGAGGCTGCCTTTTCATCATCTCTCAAGCATTTATTTCGTTAGATTCATTAAAATAATGGAGGCTCCAGAAATAATCAGAGAAAAGTTGGAAAAATACATCGTAAAGGACATAAGATAATAACGGCTCGGAAACAAAGTTAAGTCATTATGTCATTAAATCTGGTCGAATCGTAACGTTCTCCTTCGCGAGGTCGCGGTCATTCCCTTTTACAGGGTGTTTCAGCTTTCAATTATGTTTCTCTTTATCTATAGACTGCCTGAGAAATTTAAAGAGACGATTTCCTGTAAGTAAAAATTTGATAGAGCTCCATTTTCACTGACAAATTAATTTTTCGTTGATTCTGTTATACTTTTAACTTTTTCATTTAATATCTTGCGTCAGATTGACATTCCGACTTTAATTCAATATTAAAAAGAAGAATAAATCTGTCGAAGAGAGAAAGGAAAAACGATTGGTTTTCCTCTCCTCTGGGACTTATGTCCCGTCACATAAGATATCTCGTGAATCGCGTTCACGAGCACTGTGTGGACATTAAGTGCTTTCGACGCTTTGGTAATAACGTTCTAATTGCCTTTGTATTACTGCTATTAACACGCCTCGCGCCGTCACGCTGTGCAAGCGATTGCATAACGCGTGTCTGACGTAACGGCATAATAGTGACGTAACTGCAGACACGAGCGATGTGCTTGCTCGAACACGTACTCGTCATCGGGAAAAGCGAAAAAAGAAAAACAAAGATAGACATTATCGTATTCTCTGAATCTATATAATTTTGCTCTCAAGAGGAGCTCTCATTATATTACTATTGCTGTTATTTATAAATATGAAATCGCGTAGAAAATGTTTATATATTTTGGTAAAGATTATCGCCATCATTCCGCACAAAAAATAATTTATTAATATCAATAATACAAATACAAAACACTGTATTGATTAGTTTGGCGATTGAAAAAGTAGCCGGTGAACTAATTAACGTTTTCCAATGTCGCATTTCCATTGACGCTCTGATTTGTATGTATGTATGTGTGGGTGTGCTAAAAATTATCGAGATATTCGATCATAGATTCGATAACAAAGGAATATTAAATATTGGAATGCTAATTTCTATTCTATAGGATTTAATTTCTCGACAGACGGCATTCTTACGCGTGTTACTTGAAATATTCTCGTATTGATTATTGATTGTGTAATGAACGTGATAATATCACGTTTCTCTGCATTCCACCTAAGCTGATTTGGTATCTCGAGTTTTAGCGCACTGTTTTCCGTTATCTCCGCAATACATTATAATTGTATTAACACACGAGATAAAAACAGAGTCAACGATGTACGAATAAGATTGAATATGTACAGCTTCTTTGTTTAGCACATAACGGCACCAATAACGTTATGCAGTAGCTGATGAAAGTGTATTCGTTAAGATGGTACTTACATATATAACTCGAATAGGGAGCCGTTTGTTACTATCTACAAAAATATATCTTATATTTTGCTATAGATAAGAACAATATACAATATACTTTTAAAATTATTAAACTTATAAATTCTTTTAAAATTAAAAATAAGATATGTTAAAGCATAGTACATAAATCTCGCGAAATCTGCTTTTTATATGAAAAACCGATCTCTCGCCCTTAGTTTTCCATGGAATTTTTATCTCCTTTATTATCTCTTATCAAATTGCACGGATTCTTACTTTTCCCTCATTTTTTTCCCTTCCAAAATCACGGACAGCTTCTGAAATCAGAAGAGCAGTCCGCTTTTCTTCTTAATCAAGTTCTACGGACGAAGCTTTAATCTCGTGCTTTTTGCTCGTCTTTGCAGCAGGACTGGGAGCTGACTAAGGGAACGATGCCCTGGGGAAATGCTGTTAGGAGATGGGCCGAGATGCAAGACGGTCAGAGGATCCTGCTGACTACGCCTAGCGTTCTGGTCGGTTTCAGGGTCGAAGTTTATCGGGCGGAAGGCACCACACAATGGTACACAGCCGTGATCGTCGGTTATAATGAATCCACCAAGGTAAGACCGACTAGATAATAAATATTGCGGCAATGTCTTATGAATAGATGAAAATTGTCTTGCAACAGCTTGGGAGATTTCCATCTCGCAATCGTCAGATCTCTAGCCCAATCTTAAATTTGACAACGCTTATCGTTAATATACAAATAATATGTAATATTTGCGAGAGAGGTTCCGATTCACGATGATAGAAATGTCATTTGGGCAAATCACTAATTGCACAGTTTTTATGTAATATTCCACAAATACATTAATTGATAAAATTATAAATTGCGTTGATTTGTCCTAACATGTTAAAGAAAAATGTAATAGTATCTCGGAATGATTCAAACGATTCAATTCTTTTTTTGTTCGATCTTTTTATCGTTTTTATCATTAAACATTTTAAGATAGAGGAACGAACGACGGACTCGCATTGTCGCAAAAGTAATCCTCCTCGTCTTCCCTTGCAAGGAAGCTTTCGATAATTTATCCTGGCACTGTCGTGGCATTCCTATTGGAAAACTAAATCCCTGAAATAGTCGGCGACGAGGAAACGTTCCGGAAAAGGTGCAGGAATCGAAGGGCGAAGGAACATAAAATATCGGGTTGTCTGAGGAAGCTTTTGTCGCTCCGCGCACTTTTTCTTTTTATTCCTTTTGTATATACGTCTGCCTCGAATATTTCTCGAGAGTGCTAGCGAAATCGAATCGCTTGCCTGTTGAAGTTCATTCGAATATTCTTCGTCGTAACTTTGTCTCACGGATAAAGACTTTAATGAAATATCGCGAAGAGATGACGAAGAACACATCAAAATATATGACGTACATTGTCATCTATTATGCACGCATGAATTTTGATATAAATGTGAAATTTTGCAAGCATTATTTAATTATTATATGTCGAACGGATTTTATTATCACCTTCACGTGGCCCCATTTTAATCATTTTAAGAAAAAAATCTATTTTCCAAGCAGAGATTTTTTCGGATATACATCTCTTGAAAATTATCGATTTTATTATAATTTGAATTTTTTATCAATCTGCAGAAGTTCCAAGTTTTAATTATAGCCATAAAACAATGCTGTCAATAAGCGAGACGGTAAAAATTGATTTCGGAAATCACGTCCACGTGTACACAAATGGCATGAATCCAATCGCCTCATCGCGTATCTCGCAACAGGCAGACGATTCTGTCTCGCCGCTAATCAATTAAGCGCTTTGACAAGGAGAGGCGTCGATCGTGATGGCTCTTAACGAGAAGTCAGACCATCGATCTCTGACCCGCGAATTAACAAATAAACGCTTCGCGATCCGCCGAGTAAATCACAAAAATTCTCAGAAGAATAAAAAATCCTCAATACTCGTACACATATACATAGAATCTTTATGAACCGCGAATAGAATTGTTTGGAGAATTTGAGATCGGCAAACCTAGAAAATTGAATTTCTTGATTCGTATCATCATTAACAAATATTTATGATGGTTTATCGGTTTAATGAAAAAGGATATGAATGGAAGAACAAGAAGAATATAAGTAAACAAACGCAAAATTCTGAGATTTTATCTGTCTTTAAAATTAAAGGCTTTTATATATAGGTCTCTCTCTCTCTCTCTCTCTCTCTCTCTCTCTCTCTCTTTTTCTCTTTCTGTTTGGAATAGTTTAAAATTATAATATTTAATACACATATATTTTTTGCAAACGTGTATGTATCCGCGGGCAACGTACGCAAACAATATACTTGAGTGTATATTGTCTTCGGATTATATGTAAATAAATATTTTATACACAGATACTGTTGGAATGTTGGAAAATATCAAAACACGTCTGTAGGTCGGAACGTAAACAAACTCTCTCATGCCAAATTTGTTTATTAAACGCTCGTGCCTATGCTCACTCTAGCTGTGGACAGCCAGCGGTAAAGATGTTCTCGAATCAGTTTTAAATTTTATTGAAAACGTATTACATGAAACGATTAAGTGTGTGAACGGAAAACACTTCGTACGTTTAAAGTGATTATTATGCATTGTTTACATATACATACGTAGATGTATATGTTTAATACGTAGCGCGTTTCTCTTGTGTGTGATCTGCTTATTAATACATTTCCAGGATTTGACTGTCACTGACGACACGGTCCTCGAAGATCACAACGAGGATCCTACTTTAGTACAAATGCGACTGATAGGCGATGGAGGTGAGAAACTTTAGCACGAGATAAAATATGCATTTAATTGATAAAAAGTTTGATTTATCGAAAAATTTTTAATATATATATTTCATCTCAATTTAGTATAAAAGAATCGATATTATATTACTATCATATTGAGGTGCTTATATAAAAAAATTATGCTGAAAATTTTATGGAATACACATTCTATATCTTTATAGTGTGTTGTTTAATGTTATTTAATTAGATGTGATTGTTGCGCAAATACAGATATTTTTTTCATTTCTTCAAAAATTATACTAATACGCATTTGATTGTAACTTTGTAAATAATATTGTCGAATAAGTGGAACGCAAAATTTTGCGAAGCGTATTGAAATACATATTCGTTTTTTTCTCTCTTATGTAGTCGTCGAGAGCATCATGAGGGGCGAGGTCGTCGGCATGACACCGAGGAGGTCGAGGTCATCGACTGCTCTGACGCACGCGCTTGTGGTGGTGAGTGAAATTCAATTTCGTTCTATTATTAAACGTTCTGCATATAATGTAGGATCAACCAGTATTATAAACAGGAGATATATCGACACGCATATTTCTCATGCTATGTCATGCATATATCTAAATCGTGCCTATAACAAAATTCCCTTAATATATTTGGACAATCTATTTTTTACGTTATATAAAAATTATTAAATTTGATAAACATATATTGTATTTTTATTTAATTGAAGCTTACGTAACATCTTATAAATTCGAAAACTTATTTTGGAAAGCGAATTCTCTTTTATATTTTGCTTTGATCTTTTCGCAAACGACTAAATAGTAAAGCAATTGTTTCACGCTTAGTATTGCAAAGAATAAAATAATTTATCTAAATTATAAAGATTTTCAAAAGTTTTCTTATTTTTCTGTAGAACGCGTATTCTCTATAGATCGGATCGATATCAACCTTAACACTCTAAGAATATTTATGCGTCTTACGATATTTAGTACTCAGTATATATCGCGGTGTTGAATTGGTGTCAATCGAAATTTTTGCAACGCTAACTAGTAGACGAGTAGATAACGACGAAATGATTCGCGCGACCGAGTCATGAATTGAGGCGCACGATAATCTCTTGCGTCGCGTCGAGGCAAACATCTTTTCCGCACGTGACGATAGCGTGCGGTTGTCACGTGGTAAACCGTAATTGGAATCGGGCCGATGTGTCGTTTTAAAAGGAAACCGCTGCCGGTAATCGCGTCTCGATGTTGCACTCTCGCAACATGTCGCATATGTTCACGACGTATGTTGTCGACGTGCGAACACTCGAGACAAGCATCATCGATTATGTTTTACTCTCGTTAGTTACCGGATTTGTTGTATACTCGAGATTTGAGCGGAGACATAATAGATTTGCCGTAGCTTAGATATGCATTTATCGAAACATTTCTGTTTACTTTTCGATGTTTAATAATTTATTGAGATACTTGCCGAGAGAAAGGGAAAATAATATATATTATTAGCGATATCATCGTCTCGTAGTTGTTATCGTGTCGCATTTATCGAAACATTTCTGTTTACTTTTCGATGTTTAATAATTTATTGAGATACTTGCCGAGAGAAAGGGAAAATAATATATATTATTAGCGAGATATATCATTGTCTCGTAGTTGTTATCGTGTTACCTAAGCTTATAGATAAGCTGGTGTACGGAAAATGGAACATCGATAATCAATTATATGTATCTTTAACGAAATTCAATACATCATTGTTAGAAACCATTCATCAAGATAACAATAGATTTGATACCTCTGTTATAAACGTAACAGAAGTTTTTAACATTCCAGAATTACTCTGCTGGAAAAAAAACGAAATAATTTGCAAGTACTCTAATACTTTCAAGAATACTTTCATTGACGTATTTGTTACATAAAACCTATACTTAAACGACGAAGTTTTCATATATCTCTTTGAAATTCTTTTTCTTTTTCTGAAAATAAATTATTTAAAAGCATTGGGGACATAAGCATCACGCAATGATTAATAATTAATTAATTTTGATATTAAATGTATACATATATAAATAGCCTGGCTGTTTCTATAACAGTTTATATAAAATATAAGCGAGTGCGAGTTATATCAAATTAAAAGTTACCGAGGAAACATTTGTCAAGCTTCCTGCCTATATTTTCGATGCCTATGCTTATCGAGCGTTTCCCTTTAACGCGGGAAATCAATAGAGTCGAGCTTGCAGCACCCTCGGGCTTTCAGAAATCGGGAAGCCCGGAATAGAGTCCGTTGCTACCTTAGCGGCCGACTTCCGTCGTGTTCGCGAATACTCCACCTTCCTAATTCTCTCTCCCTCTCCTCCCTCCCTTCTCTCACTCTCTTTACCCCTTATGTTCCCTTCGCTCGATTTTCCGAGGAGGCAATCGAGGGCATAGTTGTCGTGCTTGCGTGCTGAATTTCTCTTCGCGAAAGATGCGCTTCCGGATTCTAGATAACGTGATTGTCGAAGTAGACGAACGGATGTCAAATTGCGGCGCTGATATCAGAATACCTGTTCACCGATTTTTTTTTCGCAAATGCATTTCGTCGTGAGTCACGCTTTACTTTTCGCAAAGCTTCTTTCTCACAAACATATGTATATCTCAGAATCGAATTATAATTCATTTACTTTGACGAATTTGGAAATTTTGAGATATATCGAGTGGATATAGAAATATTTAAATCTTATGTCTTTGTAGTATATTTTGTTTCGAATTATCGCGTGTGCAATTTTTAAAATTTTTACTGGTAGAAAAAAAGTTAAATATGCATTGAAAAATTATTTATAACGTGATCTTTTATAGTAGAAATCTAGTAGAATGTATGTACACTGTTTTATATCGTGAAATATGTGTGCGTAATGATAATGAAATAAAAAACAATTTGTGGATATTTATGAAATCTATTTTTGAAAATAATATCTATTTTGTTGCAAAATGCTTAAAATTTTTGTCAATTTAACAATTTTTCTAAATATGCGACGATAGTGTGCTATAATGCCGTAATCTATTATTCTTTGGAAATAACGGGGATCTCTCCTCTCTCTCTCTCTCTTTCTCTCTTTCTCTCTCTCTCTCGCTCTCTCGCTCTCTCTCTCTCTCTCTCTCGCTCTCTCTCGCTCTCTCGCTCTCTCGCTCTCGCTACAGAGAGTTAATTAATACAGACGGAACGAGTATTTTGCCCTTTTCACAAACGCAAATCAGATGCCTATTCGGCATTGTTCTCGGCATCAACCAGTTCTATTCCGCGGCTTATGTTGTCAAATTTGTCGACATAAATCTCGCGATTTATCGCCTCGATGGGGCTGGATCTGCTACCTCCGCTATCTACAACGACACGAGTGTGACGAGAATAACGGCAAATCGTAATTGCATATTCTGCTTGAAATTGCGTTTCGCGTTGACATGAAATCGTTATTAACTGCCTCGGAGATATAATTAAACAGTACCGTGGCGCCGTCTTTTTCCGATTCTATAATGAGATGTGATAATATCGTATACTTTAAAATACTTCGTTATAATCTCATGCGAAAATAACCGACGCCACTTGAATGTCACATTTGTATCGATTTATTCCGTGGTACATTTCCAGCGCGGGAAACGATACTCTTGCCTAAATACATACATACATCCATTAAATGATAGTAGTAAGATCTCGTAATATGATATGCTCACCGTTGCATATGATAGCGAATAACTAGGTGAAAATTAAGCGCAATTTTATTTTTGATGCCCTAATATAGTAATATAATAATTATATATGTAATATATAAAAGAGAGGGGGTAGGGCACACAATAAGATAAGTTTATTCTTATTTTTTACATTTAATTTTAAGTAGTAATTTTTTAGATAGTATTATTTTTGCGGAAATTTAAAATAAAAAGTGTGTGTATGTATTTAGTGCTAAAAATAATTGCGGCAAATCCATTCGGTTCTTATTAAAGAAAAATCAGTAAAGCAGTAAAGAGAGAAATTGAATTTATCGTACAATAAAAAGAACGTTCAGTAATCCTCGAGCATCTTGTATTCTTCGCTTAAGCGGATTCGATTTAGTTTCGTCTCGGGATTTAGCGGAGCGCAATTCATCGACGGCTTACGGTACATTCCACCACATGGCAAAGGTCACGAAAGAAAGTAATTCCTTGGCTGGTTTCCACCTTGCTCCGGTTGCATGGATAATCACAGGGCGGAGATGGATTTCGCGACGAAAGAAAATGATTTATGAACGCCCGTCTGAAAGACGAGCGAGACGAGAGGAGGGAGACTACGAAAAGCTCCTTTCGCATTAAAAGGCATTGTAAGATCGAAGGGAGCGAATTTCGCGCAAAGTTTCTTCCAAGTTTCCCTAAAGTACGAAGAAATCTAGGAAGTAGAAATAACTTGTTCGAAAGGGGGCTTCGCAAACTCGTGAGAATCGGGTGTTGAAAGAGAATCGCGCATTAACGATAGAAAGTTCGGAATTGTCAAAGCGGGCGGATATAGTTCTTTTAAAGCGGCCATCAAGCCCGAATAATTCGATGGCAACTTCTGATTGCCGTTTCTAATTTTCCACCAGCCATCGTCTGGCACTAAGTCTGCGATGTATCCATGAGTTTTCATGGATTATTCCGCTCGCTGGTGCGGAAAAGTTATCGTCGCAATTTCCGCGATTAGATCTCTTACGTCTCGTACAATTTGCTACGTTAAATCGTATCTTTACAGCTTCGCAGTCATTAGTGAAGCGTTAAAGATTGCGCATTATCCGAACATTAAGAAATACTCTTTCCTTTTCTCGCGCGCGCATGAAATTCGCATACTCGTGCATAACCGAAGTTTATGCAAGATTAATCGGTTTGGAAAATGAGATTTTAATAACATGTTTATTTGGCATTGGGTTCTATTATCTCAGATTGATGATATCGAGTTTATACATATAATAAATCATCGAACACATCCTAAGTAATTATCTTCAGCACTGGGATTTATAATTATATACAGTTCTCTTTAGATAATTTTTTTAAACAATTAAAACTTTGAGTTTATAAACATAAAATTTTATATATATAAACTTTAATAGAATTTATAGTTCTTTATTTTTTTAGATAATTGTTGAATGAAAGGAGAGTAATTACTCTGATGTGAGCATAGTGCTTGTAACAGTTCATGAATTAAAATCCAGGAAACGTCCGTTTATGAACTTTCCGTTGCGTTTGTCTATTTTCACGATGCACACAGGAACATCGTAAGCTGCGCGTAAACTTTCTCGTGGTAGAATTCATGAGTCATGTCGAGTACTTTGGTCCGCGGGCGACGCGACGTCGGAAAGTTCGAGGCTGGCTTATACGAGTTCGAAAACTCGCGGAAAGGGATTAAACCTTGGCGACTACTGCCACGTAATGGAACTCGCTTGCGTTAGAGGCATGTTCCTCGAAGACAATCGTTTGGATAGCTTACGAGACGAGGCCGCACCGACGAAGAAACACTCGCC